CTTTTCTGATGAAAACAGTTCTAAAGATTGTGTTTCATCATTTGATTTTCTTTTCATATGCTCTAAAAATGCTCCTATTTTAATAATTACTTATCAGAACCCAGAAAAACCTGCAAGCACTTCCGAGCTGTAGAATAAAAGCAAGGAAGAAGCATGATGGAAAAGGCCGCCAGGAGGTGAAACACCTGCTCTGCTGCCAAGGAGTCTGACTTTGGAAATGACATTTGCCCTTGCTGGTCTCAGTTTCCTTATTTGTAAAATAAGAATGTTGCATTATATGAGCTCCAGGGGTTCTCTCGATGTTATTCTATGATACCAAAGTGTTTGATTAATAGTTTTTCAAATCACAAATCATTCTTATGTATTAATTTGAAATAATGCATTTCTGCAAAATTATACTTTTCAGATATTTCTGAGAGTCATTACTACCTTTTAATCTTCAAGTTAAACTTAATAAATATTAGAATTTTTCTTTGGCAATGTAAGTTAGGCACCCCCCCCCAAAAAAAGGGAAAAATCCTGATATTATATTAGTTCTGTCTTCTCAAACATTTCCTTCTCCTTTGACCTAAAAAGGCAAGGGCTAAGATTAACTTTCTGGAAGCCATCCTGGCTCACTTCAGTGGTGTTGAATAATAAGCTGGATTGTTAATATAGCATGAATTCAGTGTAATTCTACTTAATTTATTATTTCTCCGGGATAACCTAAAGCAGTAAACATGTTTCTTCTCTTGGGCCTACTTATTAAGTTGGACATATGAGGAAGACTGTTCCTGAATGGTAGAAGACCACAGAGAATGGTAGAAGACCATGCTAACATTTATTTTAGTGATCACCACTGCAAATTTGGTTTGGCTGGGAAGTCCTGTGATTGGAGTTTGATCCTTATGACCAGATAGCTTTCAGTCCTATTGCTGCGAGTGCCTTGGTTTTAACCAAGCTGTGGGGGAAAGTGACAGTGAACACTGGTAAAATCAACTCTTTATTGGAGCTGCTTTTCATAATGTTCCGAGACACTGCCATTGATGCTGTGTTAGTTTCCCATTGCTGCTGTAACACATTATTGCAAATTTAATGTCATAAAACAACAAAAGTTAATTTTCTTACAGTTCTGGAAGTCAGAAGCTCAAAATGGATCTTACAAGGCTGAAATGAAGGTGTTGGCAGGGCTGTGCACCTTCTGGAGGCTCTAGGAGAGACTTGTTCCTTGCTTTTTCCAGTTTCTAGAGACTTCCAGCATTTCCTGCCATGTGGCCTTTTCTTCACTTCATTCTAATCTCTATTTCCATCATCACATTTCCTTCTCTGACTCTGATCCTTACAAAACTCTGGTCTTATAGGACTGCAGTTTTATAAGCACCCTTGTGATTAGATTGGGCCCATCTGGACAATCCAGGATAATCTCCCCATCTCAGAGTCCTTAACTTAATCACATTGCAGAGTCCCTTTTGCCATGTGAGGTAACAAGTTCGTAGATTCTGGGGATTAGAGTGCGGGCATCTTTGGGGACCATTATTCTGTCTACCACAGATCCCTTCCAGTCATTCAGGTTGTCACCCAAATGTCATCTCCTCAGAGAGGCTTCCAGAACCACCTAGAACCCCATCTACCCTGGTCACCTGTTTACCCTTGTTTTGTTAAATCTGAGAATTGTGTGTTTATTTTCTAAATTTATTTTTTATTTAATTGTCCATTTTCTGTGATTTTATTTAATTGTCACTTTCTGTCTCCCTCCACTAGAAGATAAGCTCCACTAGAGTAGAAACATGGCCAGTCTTCTTCACCACCTTGTCCTTCAAATCAGAATAGTTTCCCGCACTTGGTAGACTTGGAAGACGTTTGTTGAATAAATTAATCTGTGTGTAGTCTAAGGAAGCCTGCATTACATTAAAACAATGTTAATATACTCCGGTTCCTATTACTATCAATAATGCAAACATTTTTTACTAAACAGCAGTTAAACATTCTGTCAGTAGATTTTCTTTTGAATTTAAGTAATGGATTTCTCCTTGGGACACAGATGAGATCAATAAAATAAAATACCAGATGTAAACTGAAGCTGCAGGAAAAAAGAAAATATAAGAATTAGACAGAATTGGGGCCGGCCTGGTGGTGCCGCGGTTAAGTGTGCGCGTTGCGCGTCGGCGGCCCGAGGGTTCACAGGTTCGCATCCCGAGCGTGCACTGATGCACCACTTGTCAAGCCATGCTGTGGCGGCGTCCCATATAAAGTGGAGGAAGATGGGCACGGATGTTAGCCCAGGGCCAGTCTTCCTTAGCAAAAAAGAGGATTGGCATCGGATGTTAGCTCAGGGCTGATCTTCCTCACCAAAAAAAAAAAAAATTAGAATTAGAATTAGTGCAAACAGTAAATATCCTGCTAAAAAACAATGGTACTGTTATCTTGATCCAAGCTGTAATCATGATACCATGATGCATAACATATGGCCTCTGCCCTGTTCACCACAATAAATGCTGAGAAAGAATGGAGAAGAGAGTGGTTCATTTTAATTGAGACATCAATTCTGGTAAGCAGAGCTTTCCTCAGGCTGTTCCCAAAACATGGTTGTTAGCACTTCAGGAAACTCAAAGAGCTTTTAGACAAAAGGAAAGACATTATCCATTGGCGTGGCATTAAGAACAACCGTGATGGAAGGACTACATTTCTATAAGCAGTTAATTTATAGCTGTTCAATTGTTGATCATTTATGCATCCAAGTGATTGATAAAACAAACTGTCAAATGAGTCAATCAGGAAATACTTATTGAGTACCTGATGCTGGTAGGTACTAAGGCCCTGATATCAAACTGACTGGTATTGAAGAGGAGGAGAGAAGGAAGCTGGAAGGAGTTGGAAAGACTTCGTGGAAGAGGGGTGCTTGGACTGAGTTGTGTCCCCTCCAAAATTCATGTGTTGAAGCCCTAACCCCTAATGTGGCTGTATTTGCAGATCCGGACTATAAAGAGAAAATTAAGGTTAAAATGAGGTCATTAGAGTGGGCTCTACTCTGACTGATGTCCTTATAAGAAGAGAGAGAGATGCCAGGGGTGCACACACATAGGGAAAAGGCCGTGTTAGGACACAGGGGGAAGGTGGCCGTCTGCAAGTCAAGGAGAGAGGCCTCAGGAGAACCCAAATCTGCCAACACCTTGATCTTGGACTTTCAGCCTCCAGAACTGTGAGAAAGTAAATTTCTGTTGTTTAAGCCACCTAGTCTGTGGTACTTTGTTATGGCAGCCCTAGCAGACTAATATAAGGACGAACTTAATCTAAGTCTTGAACCATGGGTAGGGCCATTTCTGGGAAAAGGCCTTGATGAAGATCACTACCCAAGGGCCTGGTTCAGAAAAGCACTCAGCAGAAGTGTTGAATGAAAGCCACAGAAAATGTTGGAACGCACATAGCTTATTGAATTAAAGAGTAGAAGAGAGAACTGAGCATGAATGGAGTGTGGATGGGTCCCTGGGGGCTTGTGTGCCATTATATCTGGAATGGGGGAGGTGCTTGTGGAGGATCTTGGTATCTAGCGGGAGAGAGTTTGAATTTCATATTGCAGAAAATCTGGGGCTTACATTTGAGGTTTTGGTAAGGAATCAATTTTGGAAAGATCAGGGAGGATATGACCTGTGCCAGGTGTGGAAATGAAGAGTAAGGTGTGGCACCAAGAACTATCATAAAAAGAAAAGAAAAGCCAGAGTTTGGTGATAGCCTGGATGTTAACTGGGAAGAGTGAAGAATTAAGGTTGAATGGTTAATGAGGCTGAGAGGTATGCAGATAGTTCTTCATCCTTGGGGTTTCGTGAGGATTGGAATGTGTTAGCATCTGAAGTATGGGTTTATCCCACCCCTACTTCTTTTAAATACTTTAAACAGAAGAGTTATCCTTTCTTTGCAAAATCTTTACTATTATTAAGCTCTCTCCTTTCACCTAACCATAAGCTTATGGTGTGAAAATGCCAAGGATGATTGAGGTGCCCCTTATGCCCCACAGAATTCTAGGCTGTTCCTTTCTAAGACGCACTGGTTCTCGGGGAGCAGCAACATCATTTGCTTCACATGCTACATAAATAGTTGCTCGCATGGTTTTTATCTCTAAAATAGTGTGTGTTTGTTTTCACTGTTGAAATTATACGTATTTATTTTAGAAATTTTGGATACTATAGAAACATATAAGCAAGAAATTCAAATAATTCGTGGTCCTACTGCTTAGATATAGCTAATGTTAATATTTGGGGAGTCAAACAATAAATAGTTTTGCTTCCTCCTTTCTTTTCAGTTAACGCACATGATTATTCAATATGTTAATGTTATGGGTAAGACTGTATTTTTTTAGTTTATAGTCCTTTGTGAATTTCTCTGGGAGTTTCTAAAATGGCATAGGAAATAGTGATTTTTCTTTTCCAAGAAAATTTTGATAGGTAATATTTGCAGTAGATGGGCAGAGGTTTAATCTTGCTCTGAGGAGGATTTAGAAACCTCTATGGAATTATGTTTGGTAAATTAGAACTGAAATAGTATTTTTAAAGTACGTATTTGAAAAAAAAGTATATGTTTGAGATAGGATGAAAAAGGTTTTTTAGAGATTTAGATATCTTCCTTGTAAATAGATCATACTCGCCATATTATTTTACTCTTGAATTGAACTTATTTTCCCTATTTCTTTTTTAATGTACAAAGCTTAATGTTAAAGTAGCCAGTCATCTAATATAGAATGAAATGAATATAGTGCAGTCTTCTTGTAAATGGAATGTTTAGCCACTTGAGATAAACCAGAAAGGTAGGGCACTTGCCCTGCTTGATTAGGGGGTACTTTACTTCAGATTGGTGAATGCTTGGTTTCTGAGAAGGTGCAAATTTTACTTTATTTTCATTTAATCTCCATATTGAATTGGTTTTTTAATTTATGATATTATAAACCTCTTTGAATGATCATAAGAAATGCATATCTTCTAATTGTTATGGCTGAATAACAAATACCTTTTGTCTTTTTGCTGTTGCAGTTGACTCATGTTGACCAAGCAAGCTTCCAGGTTGATGCCTTTGGAACATCATTTATTCTCGATGTCATGCTAAATCAGTAAGTCTTTGTTGAGCTGCACTCAATTTCATCAGATACATGTTGAATCCACTTTCTTATCCTTCTGTAAAGTTTTGTTTTCTTACTATATTTTACTTCACCTTCCTGTATCAGTTAAATACTACAGTTAAAATTATTATATCTACTGACTGTAAGTTATAAAGTCTGGCAAACAGCAGGAGATGGCTATCCATTTGAAGTTGAACAGGTGTACCAGATTTAAGAATGTAAAGTGGCAGGCAAGACTTACTCCAATATTTTGCTTAGAATATATGTGGCCTAAGTTCCTATGAATGACAGTCAAATATGAAAGTAATACTTTGGGTATTAAAATATCTTTCTTAAGAATAGCAGAAAACAGAAAGTTACCCTTTTTGCTCAGTGATTCAGAGGTCTGGCTGCATGCATGATGTGTGATTCCTAATAATACCATTAGGTGCTTTGATTTGGGAGTTGATTTATGTGAGGTTTAGGGTACTGGGACTATTCTGTAACAGTATAATTTTTGAAATTGTCATTTGTCTACCTAGAATTTTAGATTTGGAAGTGGCTTTTGATAAATCACTGGATTTAATCTCTTCCCTTTGGGTAAGTGTAGTGTCTAATAAGTCTTACAGGACGTTTAGTTATCTGTTCACTTTTTTAAAAAAAGCATTTGGATCCCACTTCTTATCATGAGCAAGTGAGAAGAGACCAGGGCTGTGTCAGCCAGTGTTTCTGAGCTGAGCAGCACTGGCCCACAGCTTTGCTGAAATCAGCTATGCAACAGCTCAGGAAGAAAGTGTGAGGCCAGAAGGACAGAAAGGTAGACCAAGAGTGAGAAGTAGGGCCTAAGTTGTCTACACTGGGGAACCAGCTAGATGGAAGACTATGAGTTAATTTAAAAAAGGATGTAGGAGGCAGGCCTTAGAGCTGTGCTATCTGGATAGGTAGCCACTAGCCTCTTGTGGTTGTTTAAATTTAAATTAAGTAATTTAAATAAAGTCAAAAATTCTGTTTTTCATTTGCATTAGCCTCATTTCAGATGCTCAACAGCCATGTGTGACTAGTGGTTACCTTATTGGACAAGGCAGAACATTTCTATCATTGCAGAAAGTTCTATTGGACAGTGTTGCTTTAGAGATTTTTTGGGGGGAAGGGGCATGTATGAACTGATAGGTTACTGAGCTGGGTCAGTCAATATTGAGGAGGAGAATTCACTTCTTCCTTTTAGAATTCAGTCCATGTTCAATGGATTAATTTAATATTTAATTATACTAGTATCCTAATTTTTGTGGAATTATTTACAAAGTTGGGATAATACCAATTTTGTTGTGTTAATGCCTAAGCCATGCATTACTTTATTTTTTAATTTAACTGTCTCAAAGGTACATTTTGTAAGTAGCTCTCCCCTCTCCCCACGTTATTCTAGTTCACAAAAATTTAAATACTGAAAGCGTTGTGTTAGATGGAAATTGATAGTTTGGATGATCCAACAATAGGAGTTGTTTGTTCTTCGATCATGTGTATTTTAAAAATGTTACATAAATTGTATTTCTACTATGCTCATTAAAGTACAGTTTATTTCTTGTTTTTAAAATTAAGGCTTAGAACATATATAATTAAATGTTTTATACCATACTGTATTTTTTAACCTAATTTCATAGGGCAGGAGTAAGATTGTATTAATATGATCTGTATCTTATATTCCTGCTTGATATAAATACTCTGAAATTTACATGTTTAAGTGACTCATTTCAGTTTTTCAGCTACTTACATATTATAAAGTTTTAAAAAATTCGTTATAGAGGAATGCATGCTCCTTAGAAAAATAATAGAAAAGCAGAAAAACAATCTCACACCATTCCACCAGTTGGAGACTGATGGCCCTATTTTAAGTTGTAACCCTCTCTACCCTCACTCCCCTACCACCCTACTACCTGTTCTCCTCCCCTGCTGCATTTTTAAAATAATGTTCATCACCATTTAATATAAACATGTGAAATTGCCATTTTTACAGGTCAAAAAGTTCGACTACCAGCGTTGTCATATGGTCAATTAATACTCTGTATTTTAATGATTTATTTTGTTTATTGTCTTTTTCCTCCCACTAGAATGTAAGCTCCTTGAGGGCAGAGATTTTCTCTCCTTCACTACTATCTCCTTTGATCAGAATAGGTGCTAAATTCCAGGCTGGGAAGTCAGATTGACTGAGAAACTAGGAGCTGGAATTAGTTGGGAGACAGAGGATGACCAGATGACGGTGGAGGCTGTGAGTTGGGGAAGAGTAAAGCAGCGAAAAAGAAAAAGAGGATAAGTGTTTGGGACTAGCTTCTAAAAGCTGAGCTTATATATCTAGGTGTGATTTGGAAAGTCAGGCTCCTAGGTTTCTATTTCAATGACTCTTTCCCATCCCTCCTTTAAATCATTGTTATCGCAGATAGCCCCCCCTTGGTTTCTGGTTCCTGGCATTTGTAATGCATTGATTTTCAGTACTCAGACAAAGAAGGGATATTTATTCATGTCCATTCTGTCCAAACCACCTCACTTCCTTTGGAGAAATCTGAGCCCCAAAACATTCTGTTCCTGAAGGAGAAACACATGGCCACACTTATCAGAGCATGAAGCTTAGAATACTAAGGGTGAAGCAGCATTTCTTTTGCGATACTGGCAAGAACCTCCATTGGACATTTTTATTCTTAAAATTAGGAATTACAAAAAGTACAAAGGATAAAATAATAGCATAAATGGAGTTTCCTGGGCTGAGGAATATACAAAGTGCTTTTCTTTTTTTTTTTCTTGCGTGGGATCTATATTAAACATAGTGGCAGGTAGCTGATTTCTTTATGCTGTAAGACCTGGGATGATTTGATAACAAAGATTTTTTTTCTTATTTTTATGGAGAATGTTTTTATTTCATGGTTTCAGTTTGTATATTGTTTTGTGGTTGTGTTGGTTAAGGAGCAGGAAGGTGAAAATTTGAATATGTTCTTTAAAAGTTTTTTTTCTTATGAAGCAAGTCTAGGGCTGGGGAACAGATAGAGTTTTTTGTTGTTTTGTTTTGTTTTAAACTGGAGGCAAATTAAATAAGTCTATGTATAGCTGGCTTCCAGTTGCAGAATGGATCCAATAATACATATTTTTAGATTGGAATGGAAGGAAAAGTATCATTACATAATATTCCTTCCGAATGTTCAGTAAAACAAGATTATCTATAACCAAATTACACAAGATTTCAACCTTTGTTTTGTAACTTCTATGGGAGGCAGATAAAGAATATGGAATAGTTAAAAATGAAAAGCACAGCCAGTCCCTGTTTTGTCAAGGTTATGAAGGGTAGAAAGCAATTTCAGTTCCTTCAAGGGGTCACACTGTTGTGAAATTTCACTCTCTAGGGCAGATATATTAATAAAACCAAACATATGGCCTGGCCTGGTCAAACTAGTCCTAAGGCCACCTTTGACCTTTCCAGAGGTCAGCAACTGGTATTATACTTTATTGGGAAACGTTTCTCAGAAAGAAAAAGGCTCAATAAAGACATTTAACTATGTTATTGGAGCAATTCAAGCCAAGTCTTTTCCTGTAACTCTCTTTCCTCTTCTTCAAATAGTGGATAATTACACTGCCCGAAGCAATGCAAGAATATTGAAAAATTTCCTTTCAGTACTCCTTGATCCCTTTACAACAGGTGACCTCACAAAAACAAACCACACGCGTGCACACACACATACACCACACCTCACGTACTACACACACACACACACACACACCACACCACGCCACACCCCACACCCCACACACACCTACCACACAAGGAAGAGCAAATACTCCACGTGGACTGTGGTTGGTTTTTTTAGGATGTGAAACATATAATTATTACATATATAATTTGATAGCCTGTTTTTTGGAAGGGATTCTGTTGTACAACTCTCAGATCTTGGATGATCCAACTCTTCAATTTTGACTGTATTTTACAGATTCTCTCCCTTTATCTTCTTATTCAATACCAACAAAAATAGTTTTTCTCACTTATGATACTTATATCAGTCTCTTTTTTTTCCCTATTTCACAATGAGGGGTAGGGAGGACAACTAGGGACTCAAACGTGACAGCTGTCAGTAGATGGGATTGCCTGTGCAGCGTGGGAGGTGGTGTAGAGATGCATGGGGGGTGGGAGGAGAAGCAGGAGCAGGGTCAGACAAGGAACACCTAAATTCTGTTCAAAGGGGCAAGTCCAGTCTTAGGGAGTCATTTGCCAGTTAGGTACCTCTTGCTTGCTTTCCACTGGGACTCTAGAATTTGCAGGGAAAGTAAGAATCACAGTGGATAAAAGACAGTGTATGAGTTCAATTGAAGTTGAAATTTAGGTCTGGAAGAGTCTCATTTACTTAACCATGCTTCATTTACAGTGTGGTAAATAGAATGTTTACAGTGTGGATAAAAATAAGTGATGAGGATAATATTATAATTAAATGATTATGTTATGTGATGATAATAACATAATAGATCTCTCACTGTTATTAATAAATCTGTTAACTGAATATGTTGCTGTTTGACTAAGTTCATTGTGGTAAATATTTGTTTATATGTACATTTAGTACAAAACTATTGTGTAGAAAACAAATGTGTATTGAATAGGCCTTATCAATAGGGATTCTTATCTTCATTTTATACACACACAATATATGTATATAAACATATGTATACCCATATGCATACACACACGTGTATATGTACAAAAACAAACACATACATGTATACATACATACATATATATGTACATACATATATAAATTTCTTAAGCCTCTAGTAACTGCTAACAGTTCTTCTAGACTCTGAAGACTTGGTAGAAACAAGGAAATAAGCTCCCTACTCTTAGGAAGCACATATTCTAGTCAGAAAGATAATGAACATGTTAACAAATAAAGTAATTTCAGAGAATGTCAGTGCCATTAATAGCAAGTGCCTGATGTGGAGGTGAGGGTGTTATTTAAGCAATGGTTATCAGTGACAGGCCATCT